TTTCTTCCTTTTCTGATGAAACTTTGCATCCTACTCCATGTGAGGAAATAAGAATTTAAACAATAATGTCATCATCAACAACAACAACAATGAATCATTCTAGAGAGCTCACTCCATGCCAAACTCTGGGCCAAGCCTTCCATGAGGCCACTCACTTCATTCTCCTGGCAGCTCTCTGAGCTTCGTATGGACGTTCATCCCGCTCTCCAGATGAGGAAACCAAGCCTTCAAAAGGTAAGGCGACCTTCCCAAGTTCACCACCAGTGAGTGACAGAGCCTAGATTGGAACCCAGGCCTGTCTGATGCCAGCACCCAAGCTCTTTGCCAAAATATGATGCAATGCCAGACAAAAGCTGCCTGAACTGCGGGTCTTCCTTTGAAAGGGCCCCCTAAATTCCAGAATTGGTGTGTGTTACAAGACCAAAATCACTCTAACCGCCCCCAAAGAGAGCCTCTGTCAGCTTTGCAGAGGTTGAAATAATTCTCTGAAGCCCTTGGAAGTGTTTATAGGTGTTTTTAAATAGTAAACAACTAGTAAAAGCAAATCAGTTTAGTGGAGAAAGCACTCGATTCACATCCCCGTCTGTCTCTTAGGAACGGTATAACCTCAGGACATTTGCTCGGCCTCTCTCAGCCTCAGTAAAGCATGGGTAGAAATAACTGCCCCAGAGCTGGTACTGGTGAACTTGCCAGCACAATGCTATAAATAAGTTACCTCCCCTTAAAACTGCTCTATTCAATACACCATCTTGTGGAAAGGAAATTAATCAGAACACCTTCTAAACAGGAAATAAAGAAACAAACAAACACATCCCGATCACTGCCTTAGTGAGCATCCAAAGTCTAAACATGATACGAAACAATTTTCAAAAAATATGGCAATCTGTGTATATGCGCCATACTAAGGGCAGAGCATCTGTCTGAACACATGTAGACTACTTCATATTCCCTTTCTCTCTCTCTCTCTCTCCCCACCCCCTCACACACACACACACAAATTGAATCCTGATACAACATTATCTCCCTCATTCTCAAACATGTTGCTAACACTTGTTCAGATAATAGATATCTACTCTCTAGCCAGTTAACTTAAACAATAAAAAAAATGAGATTTTTACAGAGATAAGGCGCCCCAGACAACCGAAGATGCCGGTAGCTACTTGTTTAGTGACAGAGGATTTTTGTGATTAAAAAGTAGAAGACAGCAGACAAAGTCTCCTCTGTTCTCAGCACTTGGTTGACTCCAAGATAGGTGGAGGCGCCCTTCTTGTAACACCAAATTTCACATTGCTTTTTATGAGCAGAGGGTCCATTTCTACATTGCACCTCTGGATTTAAAAGAGGAAATTTAAACCTCAGAATAATGTTTTTTGCTGAACAAATGTATGCCAAACTAAGCTCTGACTGACTTCTGGTTTTCTGAGTCCTGGCCCCCAAAGTTTTCTCAGGTTTCCAGTACTGGGCCGAACTCACTGGCTTGTCCTGCTTCCTTCTATGTGACAGTTAGGTGGAAAAGGACAAGAAGGAGGAGCACCACCTCCCTGGCACACTTGGTGGATTTGGGGATGCCTAAAAGATCCCAAGAATTGCTCTGGGTTCATTATCTGAAGGTGACTTATCACCATACTTCAAGAAAGGCACACCTGTGTGTTTTCCTAGGCATTCTGGGGGGGAAATTCCAGCAGAAAGGGTGGGGGGGGAATCATACAAAACAGCAGTAAGTCTGAGCCTTTTCTTCCCCAGCCCCATAAAAGACCATTTTTTAAGGTGGGGAAAAGCCACGCTTTGCTTTCTAACTAAACAATGGAGCACTTGCATGTTTAAAGTGCCCACCAGATTCCCTCAATTTCATGACAGTGGTCCAACTTCTCACCTTCCCCTTGAATAGATGAACTGAAGCTTTTTGACTCCTACACTTTAAAACTATATCCATCACCAGCTAACAGACAGGCTATTCTTGGATCACAGCTGATTCTGGCAAGATGCTGGGCCTTAGCAGATGAGGATAAATGAGAATACAATTATTCAGTTCTGCTTGCCGTGGCCACTGCATCCGCTGTCATCCTCAAAATTCCCACAGAAATGAGCTCATTCCACCTTTAAAACATTTCGGAGCTTAAAAGTTTAAATCAGGCCAAGTTGATTTTGTGGGGTTTTTCAAGCTTTTACACCGTAATTATATACAGGACTTTGTGCCACCTATTTCCTCCCAACTGTAACATTTTACGTCTTTTTTAAGCATACGTTGAGGTTAGCTTTTTTTTTTTTTTTTTTAGTACATGTTATGAAATAAGATATGAGCTTGTGCTCAGCTTTAAGTACCTTTTTGCCAAAAGGCTGGACCAACACAAACTAAATATGACTATTTTCTTTATCCAAAGTACAGTTTTGACTATTACATACCCTTTTAATGTACATACATAAAACTAGCTCACAACTAAAGCTCCCTGCAAGTCAACTGAAATCATAACGAGATTTTCCTTTCATATAATGTGATTAACAAATGTTAGCTAACTGAACTCCAAAAAGACTCAAAAGAGAAAAACAAAATAACTCACACAGTACCAAGAAGTAAAATAACTCAACAATTTAATTTTTTCTTGCTTTTTCACATCTTTAAGCAAATAGCCTGTTCCACTCGATTATAGGGATGTGCTGCTCTAGAGGCAGATGAAACCGAGAGCTAGTTCCAGCTCTATCTACTAAAATATGAACTTCACAAGCTAGGAGACTCCTTTAGCCTCAGTTTCCTTGTCTGTAAAATGGGGGTAAAGGGCTTCAAAGGATTTTTGTGGAGGTTAAATGAAATAATGTAGGCTTAGATAAGTGCCAACAATATAAATGTTGCTACCACTGATATTATCTATCTGCTAAATATGGCTACCTTCCAACCTAAGTGTAAAAACGCCAACCAGCCTCACAGCAGGCTGGGGTGCTTTGAAATCCTTGTTCTGCAGTGGATCCCTTGGAAACTTACAAGAACACACACAAATATAGAAGTGGCCAATCCTCTATTCCTTCTCAATTTTATCAAGTCATTACAAATGTTTGGGAAGCACTAACTATGACAGCTGGGATCCCATAATCCTACACCCCTGCAAGGTCAGGTTAACATATCACTGGACCTTTTGGCTCCTGAAAGAACTCTGAGGCATCTTACAAAGTAACAAGTGAATTGGATGGCCAGAGTCGTGACTTCACCTGTTTAGAAAGGATTTCTGACAGCTTTCACTCAAAGCAGATACCTCTAAATGTTAGATATAAATGAACCGATTGTCCTTCTGAGCTTAATCAATACTTTTCCAGGATAAGTAATCATTCCCACTTGAATTCCAATTCATTCATCTTTTCTCTTCAGATTCATTCTTTTAGCTTCAAAATGGCAGGATTCTAACATCTATCTTATTATCAGTAAGGCTGTGCTTTCAGAGAAAGGCACTATTTTCCACCCTGAGGAGAATACTGAGAAGGGGGATTGTTCTGTATAGAATTTTTCATAATGTTACTTGGGAACATACAGTTTGCAAACTGTATGTTTAAACTTCATGAGTAGTAAGACTGCTGAGGAGTAAAACAGTATTTTCACATGTGGAGCTCCAAGCACATTTAAATGTTACTCAGGAATTCCCCACCCCCAAAATCTTAAGAGATTAAGATAAAATAATTCATTCGTATTATACAGATAAGATCAATGAACCGGGAAGGTTATCTCTCCCTCTCCACCCCCCCACCCACACACACACACACACCACATTTGTAAATATAAAATGGATACAAAATTTAAACACCAAGTTTCTTCTCAACAGGTCCTTCAGTGAAGGATCACTAATTAACATGGCAACTCATAAACAAAATCCAAAGAGCCCCTCCTCTCGGCTTTTACTAAGGCAGCAATATTTACCATCTCAGCAGATGTACTGGCTTTTTACTTCTGTCTGTTGATTCCCTTAGTCTTCAGAACCTGCTAATCATCTGATACAGGCATTCACCTTCACTCATTTATCATTTTGCAACATTGACCTCATCCCTTGTCATGAAAAAGTTTGGGTAGTTTAAACCCAGATGGCTTGGCTTTCCCCTAAATTGAGAAGATTCCCCTCCCCAGTTCCATACAGCATGTTGATCTGATAACTAGTAGTCATCTATCACTTTGGGGCTTTGCATTTGACTGCCTGAATGTTCTTCCAGTAGGGTTTTGTGACGTGTAGTTCTTAGCCAAGTTTTGCCAATGGCGATTGGCATATAAAACACTCTGAAGCAAAAATTTTGCTCCTTGTGAGTCCCTATTTCATCTCAGAACTTCTTGTTCATATAACTTAATCTCCTCCATGTGGCTACTCATTCGATCTTATCATTAACTCTTAAACTAAAATAAACTGCAACAAATTATGCTTTTGAATCTATTGTCACTGCCAGTGTTAACTAAGCAGCCGACAGCCAAGTGTCATTCTCTGTTAGGGATAGAATGTCTTTTCTGACTCATGCTTCCAGATCAGAAATATAAAGACTGTTTTTGAGATTTTAGGGTATAAAACAGGCAAAGAAATCCAAGATTACATCTTGTCCTCAGGTTTCTTCTTTGTAACTGTCACCTCTCTTACCCTTTGTCACATATCTTATCCCTGACCTTTATACCTAAATGTTATCTCATCATTTTCTCACTAAGATGATAGAACCAAGGCAGAAAGTTTGATGGCACCTATGATTTGGTGGCAACAGCCACTCTGGGAACTAAGAGTGTCAACAGTAATTATCACTGGGACAGTGCTGTACAAAGTCCATCTTAATTTTTTTGTCAAAAATAAGAATCCTAAGCCTCATGAAACATAAATTACCAAAGTTATAAAACTCAGAAATTCAGCTGAATTCAACTCACCAGCTATGTGCAGTTTTGTAAGGACTAAAAACAATTTTTAAGATCTGGTTATATTATTACGTTTAATGGATTCACCTTGTCAAAGGGAGTAATTGACTTCACATTACCTGATCTCTATACTTACCAAGCAGACACACATTATACAAGGATTGTCTGTGATAAATGGAATCTGGAGGACTTCACCTTCATTTTCACACTTTGCAACAGAACCTGAAATGAAAAAAAATAATCAATTTAAATTTTGTTTAATGGCATTATTGCAAACATCTAATTTTACACTAATCTTTTTTTGAAGCAACTACCAAATTCAGAAATCCCTAATGAGTTTTAAATTATCAAACTCAACAAAAACAAATTTCCCCCCCCAAAAATAATTAAATAGTTTTATTTGAAGTTTTAAAAAAAGACTGTCGTATAGAGATAGATTTTCTGCTCTCAGATGGCTTAAGCACAAATCCAACTATTTCACTGAATCTTTAATAATACTCCTCCTTGATGAAGGTATTTCAACTAAACACATACCCCCATATGCAAAAAAAAATTTCAAAGTGGACAATAGGGCTGAACAAAACTCAGGACTGCGTCAACGAACAGGCCTTTATATGAATCTGCCTCAGATTGTCTTGAGTTTAAATCACTTTTTGAAACAATCTCTCGCCTCTTCTCTTAAAAATTGACTTAATATTTTCTTTTCTGCACCAGGTGTCAGTAAAGTATGTCTTTCAGAATAGCGGCTGAGGTCTTCACCTGCCTGAAAGCATACCATTATTTTATTCTGCTAGTATTACCCTTTTTAAATATGACGGTTTCTTTAAATTCAAAGTCTGGAGAGCTAGTGCTTTAAAAAAGCACTGCGAACACAGAAGCTATATTGGAACCTTACAGAGTGAGAAAGAAGGATGTGTGGGAAACGGTGCGAATTTTTTCCTTGATATGCACTGGAGGAGAAGAAATCAAAATAGGGGCTGAGGAAAACAACAAAAATACAGAAATTTCTCAAATTCAAACAGAAGAATTTCTATCATCACTATATTCGTGTTAACAGCCTCTCGGTCCTCCATCCCTTAACCTACTCACTGCCTTCCCACCCCTTAACACGGCGGACTTCGCTTCATCCCCATCGGTCAGCGAGTGGCAGGCGCCAAGGTGCTCGCTCCCCACCCTCCCGTCCCCGGGGCAAGCCAGCGCCTCCTCTCCCAGGTACTAAGCCAGTGTCCCGGAGGGCCGGTCCCTCCCGCCCCCTCCCCTACCTGTCAAGAAGGAGGAAGCCAGAGACATGGGGAGCCCCGAGCAATTGAGCAGCAGCAAGACGCAGCAGGTAATCCCGGGCGAGCGCCGGCAGGGACGCTCAGCCAGAGCCCTGACGCCGGAGAACCAGAGCATCGTCACCTGGAGGGAATCCCGGGCGACTGCAGGTCCCGCGCCGCCGCCTCTGCTCCGCTACCGCCGCTCGCAGTCAAAAAGGGCTCTCAGCCGGCGAGTCGGGAGACAGTCCGCGAAGGAGGGAGGCGGGCGCCCGGGAGCGGGGGGGTTGGGGGGGAGCGAGGGGTGAGGGGCGCCAGGGAGGAGGGGTCCTGCGGCCAGGCTCCTCCAATGCGGCTTTTTTTTTTTTTCTTTTTTCTTTTTTCTTTTTTTTTTTTAGGGATTTGCTCGCAGCGGCTTAGTCGTCGGCCACCCTACGCCAGAGATGGGGCCGGGAGGAAGGGGATGTCGGAGCAGCCGGAGATAGGCCGAGCAGAGAGGCTGCGCTGCCGACTGCGCACAGCCGCTCCGCCGCCGCCGCCGCCCGGGCTGCAGCTACTGCCCGGGGCGCTGCCTCTGCGGCGGCCGCCGCGTCCTCCACTCCTGCATTCCCCACCTCCCGCCGGCCCCGCCGGCTCTCCGCCCGACCCGCGCGCGCGCTCGCTCCCGCGCCCAAGACAGGGGCGCACCGGCCGCCTCCCGGAACCCGCTGGGGGCGCCCGGGCGCAGGAACCCCGCGCCCCGGACACGTCTCAGCCGGGCGTCCAGCCGGCTCCCCAGCCCCTCGCGGGAGGCCGCCAACCCCGGAGCGCAGGTCCGAGCCGGGCAGGCGTGTCTCCACCGCCCGGCGCGCTCGGTGCCTCCTCCCTTTCCCGGGGGAACCCTCCCCTAACAGGGGATGCCACACCACTCCTGCTCACGCCAGGGTGCCCCAACCCTATGAGAAAGCAGAAAATGGGGCGCAGGGGCGCCTCACCACCCTGCTGTCTCCCAGGTGCCCCCAGCTTTGGGAAGGGGCGCAGGAGGGGCCGAGCAACTTTTCACTCCTTGCTTTGCTTCCCTCTGGCGGGGGCGCACCAGCGGACTGCCGGGCTGAGCGCACAGAGGGGCGAGGCGTCTTCGACACCAGTGTTCTGGGCTTATGTGTCTGCGCGTCCTGACTCTAGGGAGGACAGAAGTTGAAACGACATGCAAGGTCGATTAATAAAAGCACAGAGGCGAACGCTTTGGGCCCTTAAAAAAGAGGAACAGTCGCTCCAAGACTCCTCCCTTCCAACCTCTGGCTCATTGGGGCGGGGAGGTGCTGTTTGACTAATCATTCATTCACCCGCGAAAGAGGGAGGGACTTGCCGGGCGGCTAATCTCTGGCGGGCGGGGGACGCCACGGCGGCCTCGAGAGCTTGGAGCTCTTGTAGCCGTCGCAGCCTGGCTGCGCCCTTCTTGCCTGTGCAGCGCTGGGTGTCGGCGAGCCCGACCGCAAGCCCCGCGGATATCCTCCGTCCGAATCGCGGCCTTCTGCCCAAGCCGTACCACCCTCTGCTCAAAGAGGGGTTGCAGTGGAGGGGGGAGGGGAGAAGAATTTTTGTAACCAGATTGCGAAGGCGCGGGTTGGCATTTAGGGGACGTTGGTCAAATGTTGGGATCTGATAATCAGCTGTCCTCGGAGTTCACCTTGGGTAGCCAGCTTCCTATCCCCAAGGATGGAAATCAGGTCCCGCGTGCGCTGATCCTCCGACAGATCACGTCTGGGTGGATCCAAAGGGCAAGCACTAGCCAAGCACTTTTCTCAGCAGGACGCACCTAACAGTCTCCCGGCAAAGACGATTGTTTTCAGTCTCAGAAACTATACCTTTAAAAATAAATTAGTCTGTTTGCTAACCCATTTAGTCTAGTTCCATCTTAAACCCTCCATGACTGGGGGGGGGGGGGTGCTGTTTATTTGTTTTCATGTTTTAATGCGGCATTGCCAAAGTCCCCACACACCACGAGCTGATAGGAGCACATTGCTCTGACATGGAAAAAATAAGGGAAGGGAAAGCTATCATTAGCTTAGCACGCTCCATTTCCCTCTCAAAACAGATTTTTAGTGTAAAACTTAAAAGAGAAGAAAGATTACGTGTGACTGTTTGGGGTTTTTTTTTTTCCCCTCAGATGACTGCCATAGCCAGGCAGCTTCCTGAAAATCAGAATGTGTTTAACGTGTTTACTAACCATAAAGAAAGAGATCGTAAAAAACAAAAACAAAAACCCTCTAAACCCAATCTTACTTCCCAATCCATAGTGACTAATTAAAAAATAAAAACTTTTATGACTACAGATCAGTACAATCAGTTGAAACCACTACCTTCTCAATCTACAAAGATTCTCTCTGCATGGGGTTTTTAGATAAAGATGTTACTCACAACTTAACTAGGGATAAGGGGGAGGCTGAGAGACATTTTATCACCCCTGACTTGAGCAGGAGATTGGATAAACACACATTATGGAACTGGAGGAAATCTGAAGAGGACGCAGGAGTTACTCTGATGTGCCTTCCTCCCTGGCACCAGCCATGCATCCTCAAAGGTTTGGGTGACAAAAGTATTAATGATGGAATCTAAGTGTGTGTGGCATTTCTCTAACCAGGGGCACGGTGCTTTGGGGTGCATTGAAACTCTCCCCGAAGGAACAAATCCAAAAACCACCTGGAAAACATTTTCATATGCCTGGAAGCTTACAAATGGGAGAAATGTACAGAAGCCTTTGGCAAACCTGTCTCCTCTTCCTGTTTGTTCTAACCAGCTGCCACCAGTGATTTCCCTTGCTGCCTTTTCAGCAATTGGGGTCTACTTCTGTAAGAGCATCCTTCTCCCCAAAGGGCTTATCAGAACGTGTCTGCACACATTCGCTGCTGCGGCCACCACCCCTTCAACTGATGGTCTATCAGCTGCCGACTGGTCTCTTATCTGCCCAAAGCTGAGATATTCCAGGGTCAAAAAAGAAAGAAAAGAAGGAGGAGGCCTCTGAATAACACATAAATCTGCTTTCACAATTAAAACAAATGGTGGTACCATCCAAATCCCAAAACTCTCTTGACTGAAATCAAAAGAACACAGTGTGTGTTTGGCTCTGTTTATAACATTTTTAAAGGAGAAGGAGATAATGGGGCTCAAAGACCATTGTCTAACTCAGGACCATTCCATTCGCAGTTAGACAAAGTGCTGTCTCATCCTCTTTAAAATAAAATATTTAACCTAATCCGACTAAAAGGAAATCAAGCCTGTGGTAGTTGAAATTCTCATCTCCTTGTGAAACTATGACACTGAATTTGCACTGAAAAATCCAACCAAATATATAATTTAGCAAAAGAAATTGCATCAACCCAGCTTCCTAAAAATAGAAATAAACAGATCCATCAAAAAGGCAGAAGGGTAAAGGAATTGTGATACCAACCACTAGGGAGGGCCAAAAGTATTCCATAAATGTGCGAGGGTTTTGCTTTATAAAAGACATCAGGCTAGGCATTTTAGACTTGATCAGGATAAGTGGTGGTGCTACTAAGAAACTTACCATCTAGTGAAGCAGATAAAGCATGTTTGTAAATGAAGATAGGAATGAATGTAGTAATTTCCCCTTACCTGCAGGAAAATAAGGTCCAAGACTCTCAGTGGGTGCCTGAAACCACAGATAGTACTAAACCCTATATATATATATATATATATATACTATGGGGTTTTGTTTTCTATACATACCTATGATAAAGTTTAATTTACATTAGGCACAGCAAGAAATCAACAATAACTAATAATAGAACAATTATAACAATATACTGTCATAAAATTATGTGAATGTGCTCTCTCTTTCAATATATCTTATCGTACTGTACTCACCCTTCTTGCAATGATGTGAGATGATAAAACACCTATGTGATGAGATGAAGAAAGGCGAATGATGTAGGCATCATGAGGTAAGTTAGGCGGCTATTGACCTTCTGATGATTCGTAAAAGGAGGATCATCTGCTTCCAGACCTCGGCTGACCACTGGCAGCTGAACCTGCAGAAAAAGCCAAACCACGGATAAAGGGGCATTCCTGTGTAAAAGAAGGAGATGACAGGCCCTGCTGTGGAAGTTTAAAGAAGAAATTAAGCTTCCTGGAGGAGGTGGTACAGAAGCTAAGCCTTGCAAAAGGAGAGCTTTAGTAGGTGAAGCGCAACATGGCAAGAGTAGAGAAGAACAATCAGGAGACACACAGTTTATAAAGAGAATGGGGAGTAGTCACCCAAATGGCTCTCTCTGTTGGCTGAGCAGGAGCTGTGGGCAGCCTTGGAAATCACGAGGAATCTAGAGGCAGCACTTAAAGATTCTACCCCAGATAAGCAACATGAAGTTTGCCATGGAGATGGAGTAAGTGCCTAATTCTTTTTTTTTTCTTTTTTATGTATTTTTTTATTATTATTATGTTATGTTAATTGCCATACATTCACCCCAAAGATACAAATGTAGGGATCCAAAGGGGTATGTGCACCCCGATGTTTATAGCAGCAATGTCCACAATAGCCAAACTGTGGAAAGAGCCAAGATGTCCATCGACAGATGAATGGATAAAGAAGATGTGGTGTATATATATACAATGGAATATTATGCAGCCATCAAAAGGAATGAGATCTTGCCATTTGCAGTGCCTAATTCTTTAAAACAACCAGACTACATTTCTTTAGAAAGGAAATTATTCCTGCAGGCATATTCAGCAATCTGCACAAGTAGCATTATTAATGATGATATGGGAGAGCACCATTTCCACCTGCATCTGTTTGAAAGGGATCGGGTGATGTGGCGCATAATACACATGAATCAGTTTCTCAACCTCTGTAGCAATGGCTAGATGATTCTTCTTGGGATGAAAGTAGAAATGCTGTTTCTATTTTTTTAAGCACTTAGAGATCATATAAACCAACTTCCTGCCCTTTCACTTTAAAAATGAGAATCTGAGAGCTACGAGGTAAATGACGTGCCCAGGGTCACTCAGCTAGTTATGGCATAGCCCATTTTCACAGAGTTCCTCTGGTTCTTGGACATAGGGCTTTCTGTTACAAATGTCCTGCCTTCTTAAGTCATAGGAATTATAGGAAAGCACCACTGGATGTTTTAGATACAATGCAAATTAAAATTACAGAGTTGACACAGTAAGTGTCAACTTATCAATATCAATTGAACTGAACTGGCACCAAGGAGTTCTAAGACAGTAAAAAGCAGACCACAACCTAGCTCACCAGTTGTACAGTGAATGTGCTCTTAGATCACT